CGCCGCCCCCCCCCGCCCCGCCCCGCCCCCCAGCCCACCGAGTTTGAGGAGGAGGCGTCCCGGAGGGTCGACGATCTGCTGGAGAGCTACATGGGCATTCGGGACCCTGAGCTGGGTAAGGGGCCAGGGTAAGCCGGGTGGACCCTGGGGGGAGGACAGCCCACAGGGAGGAGGCAGGGGCCCCAGGGAGCACCCTCACCCACCTCCCCTCCTCTCTGGCCCGCAGCGTCCACCATGGTGGACACAGCCAAGAAGACGCCGAGCGTCCAGGAGTTTGCGCATCGTTTAGATTCCGTCTTGGGCGAGTTTGCCTTCCCGGACGAGTTTGTGGTGGAGGTGTGGGCCGCCATCGGCGAGGCCAGAGAGGCCTGCGGCTAGTCTGCCCCGGGGCTGAGCGCAGCCCCAGCCCAGAGCCCAGCCCCCTGCCGCGGCCCTCCCCGCCGGTTCCCGAAGCCCAGCCCTGCGCCAGAGCCCAGGCCAGCTCGGAGACTGGGCTCCTCTCTAGAACCCAATCCACTCCTGAGACCCTACCCAGCTCCAAAACCCAGTCCCCCTCCAGAGCCCAGGCCAGCTCTGAGACCGAGTTCACCTCTAGAACCCCTACCAGTTCCGAGAGCAAGCCCAGCCCTGAGGTCAAGCCTTGCTCTAGAACCAAGCTCCGTGCGGAGACCCAACCCAGCTCCAAAACCCAGCCCTCTTCTAGAACCCAAGACGGCTCTGACGCGAAGCCCAGCCCTGAAATCAAGTCAAGTTCTGGAGCCCAGGCCAGACTCACGAAACAGCCCGGCCGCAGTGGCCACACCGGCCCAGGATTGGAAGAGGGCCCCCAAACCCAAGTCTGCTCACGAACCCAGACGCAAGCTGAACTTCGATCCAGACCCAGACCCCAGCCCTGCCCTGAAACCCAAGTGCCCTCAAGTACCCACTCCCAACCCGGGGCCCGGGCCAGTTCCGGTGATGATTCCAGCTCAGAGACGGAGCCCAGTTCTACGCCCCAACCTAGTGCTACAACCAGGCCCGTCTCCAGAATTCACACAAGCTCTGGAACCACAGCCCTCCCTGAGCCAAGGCCTGCCTCCCGAGCCCAGCTCGACGCCGAGCCCCGCTCTCACGGCAAAACGCAGACCAGCTCTAGAATACTGTCGGACTCCGGGACCCAGACCGACCTCAAAGCCTGGGCAGTTTCCAGAGCTCAGTCTCGCTCAGGCACTCCACCCAGCTCTGGAGCTCAGCTCAGTTCTGGAGCACGGAGTGCGTCTGAGATCCCGTCTGGCTCCCCAGTGCAGTCCGTGGCTGAGGCCCCCCTAAGTTCCAGAATCCAGCTAAACCCTGGCATCCTATCTAGCCCTGGGACCCGGACCAACGCAGCAACAGACTTAAAGTCCACAAATCTGTCTGGCGCTGAGAGCAGACTCAGTTGCAGGACGCAGACTTGTCCCAGAGCTCCGTCGACCTCTGGGACTCAGCTCGTCTCAGAAACCCTGCCGAGTTCTAGATGCCAGCTCCAAGCCACAGCCCAAGGCAGCTCTGGTATTGAGCTGAACTCTGGGAAGCAGACCAGCTCTGGAACTCAGCTCATCGCTAGAGCCCAGCCCAGCTCTGGAACCCAGCCCAGCTCCAGGATTCCGTTCAGCCCTGAGACCCAGTGCAACTCTGAAACCCAGAGCAGTTCAAGAACCCAGCCTATTCCTGGAACCCAACCAAGCTCCAGAAACCTGATCAGTTCTAGAACCCAGCCCAGCTCTGACACCCAGCTCACTTCAGAGACCCAGCCCCGTGCAAGAATTCAGCCCAGCTCTGGAGCCCTGCTTGGCTCCGGAACTCAGTCTAGCTCTGAGACCTGGCTCAGCTCTGAGATTCAGCTCAGCCCCGAAACCCAGCTCTGTTCTAGAGCCAAGCCCAGTCCCAGGATTCAGTTCAACTCTGAGACACAGCCCAGCTCTCGAAGCCACACCAGTTCAAGAATACAGCCCAGCTCTGGAACTCACGTCAGTTCCCGAACCCGGCCTGTTTCTGGACCCCAACCCAACTCCAGAACCCTGATCAGTTCTGGAACCCAGCTCAGTTCTGAGACCCAGCCTGCCTCAGAGACCCAGCCCCGTACAAGAATTCAGCCCAGCTCTGGAGCCCAGTCCAGATCCAGGATTCAGTTCAGCCCTGAGACCCCACCCAACTCTGAAACCCAGAGCAGTGCAAGAACTCAGCCCAGCTCTGGAACTTGCCTTAGTTCTAGAACCCAGCCTGTTTCGGTAACCCGATCCAGCTCCAGGACCCAGACCAGCTCAGAGATCCAGCTCAGCTCTGAAAGTGGGCTCCACCTACAGATCCCTGGCCTTGACCTTAGAACCCAGGCTGATCTCACTTCTCCAGCCCCCAGAGCCCTGACTCTGGCCCCTAGCACAGTCTCTCGGCCTCAGCCCCGGCCCCATGATCTGGTACATGGAACCCAGGCCGACACCGGCCTGAGCCAAAGCCCAGCAACTTCCTACCCGGCCCCTCGGCCACAGATGTCCTCAGCCCCCGCGAAACCAGCCCTCTTCCCCAAGCCTCGGCTAGGACCCCAGAA